TACCCCAGAATTCGAAGATGTATCTCTAAAGGTACCAGAGTTCATTTTCCTAGGGTGATTTCGGAGATGTATTTCTAAAATTACGAAATTTCATTTTTTTCTGGAGTGATTTCGGAGATGTACTATCGAAGTTATAAAATTTCATTTTTTTTGCATGTTTCAGAAACACACTTCCGAAATAACCTTTTTTTTTTTTTACAAAAATATGATATTTTCGGATTTCGAAATCTTTGCATCCAATTCAATGTACTTCCGAAGATACTCAATTGTATAGAATTATGATTATTAAATTTTTGGTATCCGAAATAAACATCCACGTTTTAGGCAAATCCAACATTTTTCTAGCACTGTTTTTAGATAACAGAACAATGATTACCGAATATAATTAGGATCAAAACTAATTTTAATTCTTGAATTATATAACAATTGATTGTTAACTACTATTTATTCAAAGATCTTTAATTGATAAAAAATACATAAACGTTGAATTGAAAATCATTGTTATTATAAATAAAATGTTATATAGCAAAACAACATTTAACTCAAACTCAATCACCGAATATATCAAATCAAAATAAAATCCATAAACAAATAAATTAAACACTTTTTTTGGATTTCAAAAATGTATTTCCGGATTTATTTCAGAAATGTATTTTAGAATTCATTATAAAATTTGATATTTTTAGATACTTTCAGAGACGTATCTCCAAAATACTTGATTTGAGATGCGATCGAAGATACATCTCCAAAAAAATATTTTTAAATTTTAAATGATTTTTTCCTGTACAAAGAAATTCTCAAATACCTTTTAGTTTTGGACACTAGCAAATAAAACGGCAGCCCAACCTAACCACAAAACTGGGTAGTATTATATAGATATAACAAAGTTGAAGGAGTATGTATTTAGAACAAACAAAGAGCATGTACTGTTCAACTAAAATAAAATCCATTAAATAAGCATTTACACAATTTGTACCAACTCACACTATAAAAATAAGGAGGTTAAATATATTTTTAATCTTTATAAATATTTTAAATTTTATTTTTAATCTCTATTAAGAAATGACATATTTTAATCTTATAAAAATTTTATTCATGCAGTTTTAATCTTTATTATTTTTTAAAATTTTAAAAATTATTTAATTATAAATTTATAAATAATTTTTTTATACATGTTTAAAATACTATAAAATATTTATTTATCAAAATTTTATAATTTTATAAAATAAGATAAATTAAATATGAGTTTTTTAAATTATAAAATAATATGATGAAAGTAATGAAAATCTCAAATTAAAAATTAAATTCTGAGTTTTTTTTTTGAAAAAACTTTTTTAACATTATAAAAATGTCATTCAAAAATACAAATCAATTTAATAACACATTAAAATATATGCATAATAATTTTGTATATTCTAGAATATGTTATATTTTTTCATAGGAATCAAAAATAAACTTTAATAATTTATAAAAATCAAAATATATTTAATCCTAGAAACAAATCGCAAGCTGAAATTCTACCAAATGAGCCGTTTATAGCCATCTCAAGCCATGGTGTTACTTATATATTTGGGTGTCTAATAGCATCTTCAAGGATACAACCCACTTTTAGATTATTTGTCAGATCTACTAAACCACATTATCTTGAAATAATTCATTCAATTTTTATACCAATGGTACAACTCTAAAAAATTTATATTATGAATCTCATAATTTTCCTTTATATATTAATATTTTATTCATATTAAATTTTATTTTAATTTAAATTATTAATGTGTAATAAATAAATAAATCTAATTAAACTTAAATTTTATAATAATAGTTAAACTAAGAAAAAATATTATAAAAATATTAAAGAAAATTAACTATAAAGAAAATAATTATTTATAAAATTATTAATATAAAATAAAATTGAATATTGTTAAATAAAAAACATAAATTATTAAAGAATGTTGTTAATATTGTTAATATATAAACAAATAAACTATTAAAGAAAAGAAATTGAAAAGCAGATAAAAGAAACAGTTTTATTATTATTTTATTATTTCTTAAAACTGAAGAACCTTGCGGTGCAATGCAACGGTTTTCCAAAGTGGCCAACTCCACCGGCTTCCAAACCCTATGCTATGTTTGCCAAGCTGGAAAAACTGAGAAAGAACTCCCATTGGAGTTACTCTAAAGTAAATGGAACAGTTGCTTTCCATAAAAATGGAGGACTAGACAACAAAAGTGTTTGTTCTATACTTCTTTCTATCTTCATCTTAAACTTAAAAAGTATACCCAAAATATTAGGTATATGAAACTTGTCTCTTGTTTTTAGCCCTTTCATAACCAATGTGAAATTATTTTGTTAACCACGTTCATAGTCTTCCCAAAAGATATGGTGCAGTGAAAACTTCCTCTTCTGACAGATTCCAAAAGAGATATTTGTAAAAAGTTTTTCAATTAAAAACACATTCTTAAAGATAACCCTTAAATGACAACTTTATTGAGCAACAATGATAAATGGTACAGCATATAAAAAAACTGCCAATTAGGAAGACAGATTGGCTTGTAGATTAAGTTAAGAGCAGACAAGTACCTTTCCAAAATCCACTTCTATTTAAATTGCTGTAGCTTACAACTGGTACAAGAAATCAAGGAATCTCTGCTTAGAGTTGAACCAGTCGTGTAAAAAATCCAAGCTTTAGACACAACCCTACTTAAAGAGAGAGATCTCTTATTTTCTGGGACATTAAAAGGGAAACCCCATTCTAGAATCAGGCAGTCAATGTCTGGTTGCAGTTATGGTGCAAGTGAGGGGAGAGGACTCAAGGAAACATTCAAAAATTATGAAACTATGATGTTTAGTTCAAAATATCTAAAGCAAGAAATCTTAAAGAAATAGCCACAACAATTCCTGCAAAATAGAATTTCTATATTTGAAACCGTCCAGCATTATCACTGCTATAAGTAAATCATCACCATCGATACTACACAGAGTTCCCCCATATTTGCACACCATTCAATAGTAAAAAAATGAGTATAGTTATTCATAGTCACCTTGTATTCAAATGGTGACTGCAAATTATCATCTTTTCTGTAGACTGCAGCGTATATGGTTGGAGTTCATCCCAGAGAACCAGACAAAACAATCCAAAACATGTCACAAAAAAACTTCACCATATACACTACAAGATCTTATTTGGTCATAAACTGATGAAATGAAACTTGTGCATCAAATTAGCAATCAATGGCTAAGTGTATTCCTAAATCAAAATATAACTAGAATGCATTAGGGGTGACAGAAAATGAGGGGACAAGTAAGAAATGAGTATGCCATCACCCACATATAATTGCATTCACAAAATGGACCGACATATTTATTGTATTGTATTCTAGCATGTACCAAAAATAAGACTGAACATAAAGTATAACGAAAATGCTAGGAATTATATGAATATCAAGATACAAATCTGTTCAATAACTCCAGCGCTCAATGATGATCTGGTTTTGGAATATTCATCAACAAAATATGTATTAAATTCAACAGTGGGAAAAATCATATCAAATATCTATTATAATCACAATTTAAAAATGAAGTTTAATTTGAATTTTTTTGGGTGAAAGAGGAAAATAAAAAACTGTCTTAAAATAATTGATATTCATCTGAGGCTAATATATAATAGTAATGGCATAATACATATATACTATCAATTCTTTATTTTTAAGTACAGAGATCAGAAGGTTCTAGACATTGGCAGAGAAATTCAATTTCAACATCAGGAAAACATTTCATCCATCAGCTGCTACCAACAATTCTTTTAACTGTTTATAAAAGTTAATGAAATGAAATTTTAACTTATATTCCCCAACCCCTTCATCCATATTGACCCATTATTTGCTCTATACAAGCTAAACAGAAGTAAAATCCAGATATGGAATTTGAAGTATAGCTTTGAAATAAGATGGTCCTCAAAAGTCAGAACAAACAATACCCCAATATGGAAGATGCATCATTACTCATTAGTTTTTGTGATCTAAATTCTTAGCAAACAAACAACACAACAGAAAGTTATTCACCCAAATAACCTACCTTGCCATCAATATCCATTCTATTGTATCTATTTTCCAGTTAACAATCAGATAAAAACTCAGGATATATTTCAACCAGAGTAGTCAGTTCTGGGGATAGTGGCGCGGAGCGGCCGACCTCAAAATTGGGATAGCAGGAAAGCGTATAGCGGGATGGCCGCTATATGATCATTTTTAGGACAAATTACATGAATAATAAACGTATGAAGTGCAGAGGTAAGAACGATGTGCCGAGAGAGGTGGGGAAGGAACTTGTGAATTTTCCTTTGGAATTACTAAAATACAGAAACGTCAAGGGAGGAAGGTTATGGTTGAGTCTCAAGTCTCAACTCAAATTTGATTGAAAAATCCAAAACTACCCTTAAAACCTCTTTTCAAAGAGTAAAAGGAATGTGGGACAGAAACCGGTCCGCCCCCGCTACTTACCCAATAGTGGTGCTCATAATGGTGAACCCCCTCCGCTACCCGCTATTTATCCTATAGTGGCCACTATAGTGCTAAGGCTCTTCCCATAGAAGCCAGCCTCAGCTCCGATCTGCTAGGGTGGGATAGCGGTGTTATTGGCCGCTATTGACTACTCTAATTTCAACTCAACTTTCATAGTCATTCAGGAAAAACTCAGGTAAAAATTCCAACTCAGAATTACAAAGAAAACAAACCATCACAAATCCAAATCAATCAGAATAAGTTTTAAGAATTCAATGAACAATTCAATTGAAATTTGACATACTGAAGTTACAAACCCAAGAACCTCCATTACTGCAATTTTTACTTTAATCGAACTCAAAGTAAGATAATTCACAACTTAAATACTCGATCTGATTTTTACAGGGTAAATTAAAACAGAAAATTCATAATGATAATCATAATCACAATGATCCCGATAGAGAAAATTGAAAGAAACAAAAAAGGAAGGAAAATAAAAACTAATCATACTTCTCTCTCCAGGAGTAAATAAGGAAGAAAACCCAAGAAAGTGCCAAGAGAACATCACCAACAGTTTGCCTAAGCCAATCCCAAGCAAGATCCTCCACCTTCCTTTCAAAGTAGATCCTCCACAACGCCATAAACACATGCAACAAAACACACCCCTTAGCAAACAAGTGTTGAAAATCGCGATCCTTAACAAACGAAACCATGAAAATGAGAAATCCAATAGCCACAAGCAGCAAACCGGAGAACGAATCGGAGGTCTTGATGAGGAGCTGATCGTGCGGCGTGGATCCGAGAAGCTTGGTCGCCGTTTGAACGCCGTGGCCGAAGGTGTAGACCTCTTTCATGTAGAACATCATGAGAGCTCCACTCGTGACGGCGATGATGGAGTGGAGAATGCAGATGACGAAGAACGCCGATGACGATCCCATGGATCAGAATCGGAATCGGAAATGGATCGGCGGTGAGAGATTCGGATTTTCAGGGGAGAGACATTGGAATCTGTAAAACCCTAACTCTCTCTGTGAGCTTGCGTTTTGGGAATCAAAATAGGTGAAGAAGTTGATTAATTAACGATGTTAATTAGAACATTAATTTAGGTTAAGTCGATTAATTTGAAATCAATGAGATTCTGAAATGGTAAGGGAGAGAGATTCTAAACTTGGAAGATAAGGATCTGGTGGGACCCGGTTTGATTAAGATTGTCCACGAGAATAACACGTGGCGGTGCCGTCAGGAAGGTTCACGGTGGAAATTGGATATTTCTAATCTCTCCTTGTCATTTACGTCGGTAATGACATCGAAATACTCCCTCCTCCCATCTGAAGGAAAAAAAAAAACAATTATTTTTCAATTAAAAAAAAGTTAGTTAATTATATATACACCGTCACTATTATAAGCTATAAAAAAATTTTAATTTATTAAATCATTATTATATCTGATGGATAATACTATCTATTCTTCCCTTTTTAATTATAACATTTTTTTGAATTTTTTCTTATTCTTTTCTACAAAGATCTTCTTCAATTTTTAAAGTTTATTAATTATTTTTTTAAACATATTTCTAATTATATTTATATATTTTTTACAATACGTAATAAACTTATAAAATTATACAAAATAATTAAAAAATTTATTATTTTAACAAATTTTTTTAATTCTCCTAATTTATTCTCCGGTGTCTTATATTTAGGGACGAGGGTAGTAATAATCAGATACACCAATTATTTAATAAATTAAAAATATTTTTTGTTGTTTATAATAGTGACCGGATGTGTAAGTTAGTTTTTATATTTAATCTTACTAGAGTGGTACCGGTAAATCTAAATTTGCGTGAGTTTGATACTCGCGTCTCAATTTGACGTTTCACATCTATAAATACTTTGACGTTTGTCGCAGATTATATGAAGTAAGTGATATTTTAAGTTAAAGATGGTGTGTATTTTAATTTGATGTATTGTCTTCCTTTTATATTCATCTAGGATTTGGAGACCTCTGAGTTTATATTCTGGATCACTATCCAAGAGACAGTTGTTAAGATATTATTCAATTTGTGATTTGATGGTTTCTCTTCAACCATTAACCTTGATCTTGTATTTTTCCAAGGGGCAAGCACATGTGTGTTTTTGAGGTCATGGATCTTATTCTACAAACATGTGTCTTCGGGTGATTGAGGTTTGTTTATATCTTGACCTTATCCCTGACTTTCACAAATCAAATTAGGTCTTCTTCATTTAGGTCGTTGGTTTTATTGAATCGTTAAATATATTCGACAGCTCATGCATGAATAATAGCCCCTAAGTCTGGTATAGTGAAACCAATGTGTGGCTTGTGATTTAGGTTACTCTCCATAGCAGTCTTTCAGCCATCGTGCTCTTAGGTTTTTCATGGATATTTCATATGACCTAACCTCTCTTATCATTATTGATCTTTAATATTGTTTCTTTCACGTGTTGAGGCCTAATGGGGCTTTTGGGGATATGTCTCCTTTTTCTTTGTCAAGTGCCGCTTAAGGTGTGCAAGGTGATGGTTTATCGATAGGTGTAATATGATTATCGTATGGGAACCATAAATGTCCTTGTTACTTAGATTATGTCATCTCTGATAATATGACACTCATTCAAAGGTAGGTATGTGTTTACCGTGGAAATTGGTAAACAACCGCTGATCTTTCAAAAGGTTACTTATTTGGTGACTCGCAGGATCGATCAGATTGATCCTAAGACATGGTTGATTTTCTGGGGTTTGACTAAATCTAATGATGATTAATGCCAGTAAAGTAAAGACACTTTATGTAAATTGCATGAAGAAAAGCTTGATAGAATAAATGAAAGCGTTAAATAAAAGGCTTCGACAGAGATGAGTAAATGAAAGGCAATAAAGTGCTTGAATATAAAAGACTTTGATTAATTTAAATGGTGTTTCACACATACATTCTCAATAATTCTTTCGCTCACACTGGGTACTTGAATCTAGATGAGTAACTTGTATATAATGATGAACACACCTGAAAAATACGTGAACAACTAGTATTTATACTAAAACACATCTTAAGTAACCGTTGGGCAGTTAAGTTGCTTCGAGATGACACCACTTGGCACGCTCACAGCATTCGACGCTCCTGATCTTGGCATGTTGCGTTTGGTAACTGCTGGGAACTGTTTTCCCTCCAAACATTCGAATCTCAAACCGTTCCACCCTGGGCATCAGATACCTTTGTCGAGAAGTTCCTTCGACGTCGAAGGTAACAAGATTCCTACTTAAAAGAAACTCTCTAAGTACCTTGCCATTTTCTGATGAGCATTCGACAGGATCAGCTGGTCGAAACCTGGAAACTCTTCAAACTCATAATTAATGATCTATATGGATAACAAACAAGGGTGTCGAATTTAGGAGCCAACAAATTGCCCCCCAAGAATGCCTTATTTCGACGCTGAAAAGAAAAAGTTCTTTGAGATTCCACCCGACACCTGTCCTTCGTTCTTAGCCACAAATTAGCTCGTGCGCTTTTCGTCTCCTACCAACCAACTGTTTCCAGTGATTTCTGGTAAACAACCGCTAGTCTTCCAAACTATCGAATAATCTTTCTTACTGTTATTCAATTCCTCTGGTAACTCACAGGATCGACTAGATTGATCCTAGGACTCCTTGGATATTAAGGTTACTCTCACAATCGAACAGATATTCATGGTTGATATTGTATAGGTGTTTGACTTATTTTGATCTCTCTCTAAAAGTCTAAAGATGTAACCAAAATGTGTGTGAAAACTAAGTTATACGAATAAATGCTAATTGTAATGCTAATTGTAAAGACATATAAAACTGCATGAAAATGAAGTAAATGGTTTCGACTTACAAAACGGTTAACATAAAGGATTTCTGGAACGTAAAAGTTTGAAATGTGAAGAAAGCGTTTAATGCAAGAAATCTGTAAATGATTTTAAGTAAACATATGCGTTCGAAGGATAAGACTTGAAGGTAAAGGCATGGAAAATGTGACAGTTTTCTGAAATATAAAGTGCTCGAAATATAAAGAAAACATTAAAATGTAAAACTTTGAAGAAGAGATTTCGAAGTGAAAAGACTGTAAATAAGAAAACTTGTAAATGTTGTTTGACAAAAGGAATAAAGGAAAGTACTGGAAATGGTAAAAGGTTTTCATTAAATCAGAAATACATGGTGCTATCATACATACATTTCTCTTGCATTCGTTTCCCTTGCCATGTGGTAGTTTGAATGTTACTGAGTATTTTGTATAATAGATATGACACACGAAATCCTAATACTAAGACTTCTATTTATACTAATTCGACCATAACGGTCTTGCTATAGGATTATGCCACGTTTCGAACATGCAGGACAATGCTTATTTCATCTTTCCACGTGTCCCCAAATGCTCCAACACATGACTTTCAAACTTTGAAAGTCCCGCTTCCATTTGAATTTTAAATGCTTTGGTGTTTCTCCGTTTCGAACGCTCTTCCCAGACACAGCCTCGCTGTTGTTTCGAGATTCCTTTAGATATGTTCCCATAATTGCCGCTCGAAGCTCCAAGCTTTGACACACTTATTCGAAACACTGCTTCTGCAACTTCGAAATATGACGTTTAATTCCATTTCGATCAAAACGTTTAACTCATTTGGCTTCTAAATAACATTATCAAAATCTTCAGCCAACAAATTGCCCCTTTAAAATATGTATTTCGATTCCTCTGAGAAATACCTATTTTAAACATCTACACAAGATTTTAATAGGACTTTCGAATCATCGTAACATTTAATGCATTTGACTCCAGTTACATCAATCATGGCACCTTTTGGATTCCTTAACCGCCCGGAGTCACTTCACAGCGTGGTGCAGTTATAAGTAATGATTATCTCTAAATCACGCCTATTACCTATGTTAACTTCACGCCACCTCTTCATCACACCAACCCATGATCTCCACGTATCACACCTCTATTCGGTGGATGCTTAAACTTCCCATTATAAAACATCAACTTAATCTTCTTCTTTTCTTTTCACACTCTAAATCTTTCACACTCTGAATCTTTTACCCTCCTTCTCTCACAAAACAATCTAAGCTTTCAACATCTTTCAAAATGTCTTCTTCTACTTCATCCCAACTCAAGAAAGTTTCCAAGAAGAAAGGAAAAACTACCGGAGCTACCATGGAAAGTAAAATCATCACCATCCAAGGCCAATCTGCTCTTGCCCCTCAGATGATTTCCAAAGAAAAAGAAATGATGTATGCGTCACAGGTACTCATTCCTACCCACGTTGCTGGTAAGAGGTTAGCCTTAAATGGCCCTCTTACGGTTTTTGAAATATTAAAGGACACCAGGACAATTTTTCCCGTCTGTTATAGCTTCAAACCCTTATTTAACAAAATGGACGCCCCTAAGGCAGTAGAATCTCCTAGTTCAAATACCATAGAAACCCCAACTGTTCCTCCCAAGGACCCCTTTGTTTTGGATTATGTAAAAATCAATTTTAAGCCATTTCGATCTTGCCCTACTTCTGATATTGCTTACCAAAATTGGTTCACGAAAGTAGAAGCCAAGAAATCCCAGCAATGGGAAGAATTAGGCATTTATAACCTGATTAAGTTATCGAAACCTGGTTTCACCTACAGCCACCCTCTGCTATTCGCGTCCCTTTATTTCTGGGATAGTACCTACAATACTTTCCATCTCCCAGGTGGAATGATCACCCCAACCTTCTTCGACATAGCGGCCATCACTGGGCTATCGCCAGTGGGAGAAACTTATATACCCGACAACGAAGAGCACTCAAGCATAATTGACTTCGAAGTCAAGCTAGCCAGTTTTTCCAAATTCATCAGTCATTATCATGCTGAAGGGGACAATGTGTCTGACGTAGAGCACATTGCTTTCTTAACCCTATGGCTGTCAAGATACGTTTTCTGCAGT